AAATCCCCTGAATGGTTTAGACTTTCGAACTCGTTCAGCTAACATCTCTTTGGTTCCAGAGTTCATGTTTGCAAAATGAACTCTCTTAGCACCAGATTTAGCGAACCAGATTTTGCCATTCTTAACCGCGACGGTCATACTTCCCTCAGCAGGTAGCTCAACCATATACCATGACCCACACTTCATACCATGAGCAATCACCGAATTGCCATTGACCACCCTCCATTTACCACCACCAAACCTTACTTCCAGTCCTTGTTTATCCAGCTGACCAACATAAATCAATTTCTTTTTCAGCTCCGGAATCACCCTGACATTCTTCAGGTTCCATGTAGTTCCCAATGAAGTAACCAGATCAATATCTCCTATGCCCGTTACTTGAAGGATCTCGTCATTTGCCAACCGTACCTTCCTAAAATCTCCTTCTTTTAGATTCACCATCGTTTCCCCGTTGTCCATGGCGTGAAACGAAGCCCCTGAATCCATGACCCAAGAGTCTACAGAACTTTCCATACTGAGTAACAATGCATCATCCCCAGAAAAATTCTCAGCATCAGCAATGTTCAATTCTTTCTTTGGACATTGACTCTTAACATGTCCCACTTCTTGACAGTTCCAACATTTCACATTCTTCAAAGTTCTAGAAGAACTTTTTCCCCGACTCCCACTGCTCCCACTATTCCTGCTATTCCCTCTACCTCTTCCGACATTTAATAAATCAGAAGAGGAAGATCCACCTTGATTCTTGCGTCTGATATCCTCGCCTAGAACCAAATCTCTAACCCCTTCAAAAGTCATACCACTGGTCCCCACGGAACTTGTAACAGCAGTAACTGTTCCGGACCAGCTATCAGGTAGAGAAGCTAGTAGCAGCGAAGCTTGAGTCTCATTATCAAATTTAATTCCCACAGATGATAATCTGGACATAATTGAATTTAGATTGTTAATGTGAACCGTAACTGAGCCTTCCTCATTCATCCTTGTAGTGAACAACTCCTTCATCAAGAACACCTTGTTAGCCGCCGATGGTTTCTCATACATATTTGACAGAGCCTCCATCATACCATGCGCCGTGGTTTCATTCATGATGTTGAAAGCAACGCTCTTCGTCAACGAAAATGTAATAACCGCCTTGGCTTTCTTGTCCTTTGAGTTCCACGCATCTTCAACAGCTTTTTCCATTTTCTCCGGTTTGTCTCCGAGTACCACGTCCAAGTCTTTCTGACATAGCAATGCTTCTAATTGCATTTTCCACCAGCTAAAATCAGAACCATTGAACCTTTCGATTATAACCTTGTCTTCAGCCATTACGGCAAACAAAAAAAAAATAAGGTACACTCGTGTGTGACAGAAAAATGATCGTACCCTCCAAAACCTCGCTAACCAGGCTTTGATACCAGTTGTTAGGAATCGGACCGGGTACACGCAGCGGAAACACACTATCACACACTCACAAACAAAACGAGAAAATAAAGCGAGAAGAACACAAGAATATTACGTGGTTCGGATTCGGTGTAAATCCTACGTCCACGGGCTGCAACTAGATTTTCTTATTAACTCAATAAGATTACAATTTATAACTCTACAAGTTATATTTGATGCACACTTTCTCTGCTACACAACACACATATATATAGCTGTATATGTGCATAAACTTCCAAATATATATTATTATATATATTGCTTTACGCCAATAAAATAAGAGAAAAGTAAGAGCACACAAATGTTAAACAATTGTTGGAAATTGACATTCACCAATTCTATGGCCATCTTCTTTGACCAGCTTTTCCTCCACCAATTTTCTCCACCAACCAACAATTATAACAAAGTAAATGTGAGCGACTTGACTAGCATCATGTGTTATGGCACATGGGACAAAATATGCCATTTTTGAAAACCGCTCAACCATCACCATAATAGAGTCCTTCTGTCTTTGTGTACGAGGAAGACCGACAAAAAAATCAAGACTAACATCTTCCCACAGACATTCCGGGACAGGAAGTGGAGTGTACGAACCTGCATTCGAATGCTGAGTTTTAGCAATATGAGACCTTCTACACCTGTCAACAATACGTGTGACGTCTGCGACCATTTTTCCAATAAAACTGCTCTTGTACTAGTTTAAGTGTTTATCTCTCCCAAAGTGTCCAAATAATCCTCCATGGTGACTTTCTAAGATGATCGTGTCTCACTATGAGCACTTTGGGACGCACAGGTGATGGCTTTTGAGCAGAAATCCCTTGTGCATATACTAATATTTATGGTTCATTGAGGTTGTGGTATGGCAGTACTTCCACGCAGCCAAGAAGTCGGGGTCATCTGGGTATACACCTCGAAAAACATCAAATCCCTCAACTTGAACTTCAAGTGAAGTGAGTAAGGCGTGTTGTCAACTAAGTGCATCAACCATAGTGCATCAACAAAGAAAAAATCTTAGAGGTACTCTACCCATTTTGCGTTTCTTGGGTTATGCTTTTGTTGATTGTTGATGAACCGAAGGGCTTGGTGGTCTGAGTACAAAATAAACTCACCTAGTAACAAATAGTGGGGATAATATTCTAGGCTTCGAATGATGACATAGAATTCTTTATCATATGTACTATATTTTTGTATTGCCTCATTTATTTTTTCGCTAAAATACACCACTGGTCGGCTGTTTTGACTAAGTACTCCTCCAATGCCCAGACCGGAAGCATCACACTCTACTTGGAAGGAGACTTGAAAGTCCAATAATGCGGGAACAGGAGCCTGTGTTACTCTTTTTTTCAACTCTTGAAACGCTTTATCAACTCCACTTGTCTAAATAAACTTGCTTCTTTTTAGACATTTGTGATAGGAGCGACTATTGAACTGAAATTTTGAATAAAACGTCGGTAAAAAGAGGCTAGAATGTGAAAACTTAGTACCTCATGAATTGACGTCGGTGTGGGCCATATAGTGATCGCTTCCACCTTGGATTCGTCCATGCGTATACCGGTTCCTGAAACAATATACCCTAGAAAAAGGACTTTGCGAGATAGGAAGTGACACTTATTTCTGTTAGCATACAACTTTTGATCTAGCAAGATTGTGAATAATTGTCGAAAGTGACGAAGATGTTCCATCCGATCTTAACTAAAGACCAAAATGTCATCAAAAATACACCACTACACAATGTCCATCTAAGTCTTTGAAGATCTGGTTCATTAATCGCATGAAGGTACTTGGCACATTAGATAGACCGAATGACATCACCATCCATTCATAAAGTCTATCACACATTTTAAATACGATTTTCCACTCATCTCCCGAATGCATTTGAATATGATGATAACCACCACAAATATCGATCTTGGAGAATGCCAATGATCCATATAACTGGTCGAGAAGGTCTTCGAATCTGGGTATAGGAAAGCAATACTTAATGGTGATTTTGTTGACTGCCCGACTGTCAATACACATTTTATACACCCCTCCTAGTTTTTCAACTAGTAGTGTTGGAATGACACAAGGAGTCACGCTCTCCCTAATTAGACACTTATCAAGCCTCTCGATTACTTGCCTTTGTAGTTCTTCAAATTCTTTAGGATTCATCCTATAGTCTAGTTTATTCGGTATCACCGAGTCGGGTACAAAATCGATGCAATGTTGGATGTCTCTCATAAGAGGTAAACCAGTGGGTATGTCATCAGGGAATATTGCCTCAAACACTTCAAGGAGAGGTTGTACTTTGCATGGTGTTTCATTTTTTATTTTTGATTTTGCTCGGCCACCAGAAGAGCATACGTGAACGGTGGAATATGGTGTCTGTTGAAGTCAAGGAAATATGACTTTGTAATAATGAGAGCTTCGGTTACTGTCTCTTGGATTTCAAGAGGTTCTAAGATAATATTATTGGGTTTTTATTCAAAAGTAGTTTAAAAAACATAAACATTTCAACAGAAGACTTGAGATTTGAACAAAATAAAACTAGTTTTATTCCCACCAAAATATCATTTGCAAGAGTTAGAAAGATTAAAACAACCATAGAAGAGAAAGCATAACATCTTTTGAAGAATTTGATCCTCATGGGAAGTTGGAAGTTGACGAAGATGACATGAAACTCTAAAATAAGAGCTCTCTATAAGTACCCACCAAAGGAAGAGTAGAAACATCTAACACCATTTGGAAGAAAGGAAGAAGGGACAGAGAGCATTTACTTCAAAACGTTGGCAGCCCCATATAGAGCATCTTGCTCTAGGATTTTAAGTACAAAAGAAAGGAGAAATATTCAAGTCAAAAGAACTCTAAGATACACTCCATGCCCTAGCTAATATATTAGACAAAAGGTAAGAGGAGACATAAAAGCAAAAGAAAAAGTGTCTCTCTTATAAGCATGTAGAACGGATTAAAATAAACAAAAGGAAATCCTAGACTATACCTTCAAAACTTCAGCCTATGTGAAGGAATAGGACAAACACCAAGTGCTCATTTCTAATCCCATAACTAGTTAATTAAGTTGTGAACATTTAGTCATCTAAAGTGTCCAAAAGTTTATACATAACTTCAATAATCATACTATATGATATATGTAACCAATATTGTTCTCTTTATTATTATTTCCCAGAAATAATAATTCCCAATATGTTAGTAAAATATTATTTCGAAAAATAATATTTTTCCAATTAAATACAAGTGTTGATATATTTATTAATAATCAAATTATACTAATAAATAATCAATTGATGGTAACTTGCTAAGGTGTGACCCTATAGGATTATATGTTATTAGCAATATCATTCTATAATGACTCTTGGACATACTAGATCTTTCAAATATTGAATCTGTCCTTTTAGAGGAATACATATTTTTGAACCCATCATTTTTCGTATGTCTATCGTACTGCCACGGTCGTCCCATAGCGCATGGCACACGTCCATGGGAATCACTTCACACCACACTTCGTCCGAGTATCGATTACCTATAAAAAATTTGCACAAGACACTGGTGGTTAACTTTTACAACATTACCTTTCTTAAGCCATGTTAGATGGTAAGGATCAGGATGTGGTTCCGTCTTTAAAGCTAATTTTTCCACCATACTTGTGGCTACCATGTTTTTACAACTTGCCCTGTCAATGATGATGGTACAAACTTTTCCCTTAGACGTGCACTTTGGCCGGAAGGTATTGTTGATAAGCCACAAAGTGTTCTCGATGTTTGGGGTTATCGTGGTACTAAGGACTCGTTGGGTTCTTCAGGACTGAACTTTATCGGGGTAAACAATTTCCTTATCCTCTATATTCTTCTTTGTGCTATGTATCATACGTGGGTTGTGTTTTTTCAGGGAGTCTATCTTATGTGACTGTGACTAGTTGTTGGTTGGGACAGTCTCTCACGAAATGGCCTATCCCTTGGCATTTCAAAAATCGACTCAACCGGGTCGAAGCAGTCACCAATGGTGCAGATCCCCATGAAGTCTCGACATTGATTGGGCCGATTTTACTTCAGGTTCCAAGTGAAAAGCTAGTAGGGGATCAGAATGTTATCAACTTGGTTATCGATGAATCAGGTTCTTAGGGGTGGGGGTTTTATTGATTAATAAGGTAATGCTCGTTCATCAAGAGCCCTACCGAACCTGATAAAATAGAACAACGCCAGACATTCTTTGGGTTTTAAACCCGTAAGAACGCTCTGATGCTTAAGTCAGATGTAAGATATGGGTGATCGCTATCGAATTATGAATGAGATGTAGTTGCCAAGAGCATACATGTTCTTGGTCAAGATAATCCGCTTTTATACTACCTTTGCATGGGAAAATGGATATGAGGGCGAGCCAAAATAGGTCCCCATCTCATTGTCATTAATGTGTCTAGTTCCGAAGGTACAACAACGTTAAGTATGATCTTTCGAAAGTCTTGTCATTCTCGTTATCTAAGCTGTATCGAATAGTTGGTCCATAACAGGATTTTTGTGCGTAGTTGGTCCATAGTAGTTTCTTGCAAGTCAAGCGGTACGGCTTCGTCTTGCATGGTTCAACATTCCACGATACACTCGTTTGGACTGTGTATCAATGGTCCGGGTTCGTCTTGACAGAACCACTTTTGTTCGGAGGTGACATACCTCATCAAGTCCCCTAGGTTCAGATTATTTTTAATAATTCGAATTTTCTTCTCGCTTATCAACATCGGCCTCTAATAGATAGATTTGTCTGTCCAATCAAGTATCAGATTCGACCGTTCCGCCTCCCTACGACCCATATTTACCTACCTTATTATCGTTACCTCGAAATCACTAACCGCCCCTTATTTATCGGGATGATTGAATAATTTTTCTTCGACTTCTTCTTCGATTTTAATGACCCACTTCTCTCTGTGCTTTAAATTCTTCAAACCTCTTCGATTTCTTCCTTCATCCCCTTGTTATGGCAAAAAATAACGACCCCATTCACACAACTTTCTCTACTTTGACTCAAGGATTATTGGACGAGATCATCAAGTATTTCCATATCAATCCCCAATTCAAGCCTATTCTTCCTTCTAAGGATCATCCTATTAGCATCTCTCTAGAAGGCTACGTCAGTGTTCACACAATATTCTTCATGTCTGGACTCCACCTACCCGCCTTTGAGTTCCTGAATTCCATTCTTGGGTATTATAAACTCCATATTGCCCAAATTACTCCCAACAACTTCAAGAAAATCATGTGTTTCGTGTTACTGCACAGATCCCTAAACATAGTTATGTATTTATCTATGTTTCGTCATTTTAACGTGACTATGGCGAGGGGTGATTGAGTATCTTTTTCTTTGCGCTATGGAGCTATTGAGATATGCGACGAGTTTCCCACCTCTATCAAGTAATGGAAGACCAAATTCTTCTTTGTAGATGCATATGCTTTTGGAGTTCTTATACAGTTTGAAAGCCTTTTAAATCGTGAGCATGACCCCAATCATGAACTTACTAGGGATGTCAAAAACCCCCGTGGGACCCCGATACCGTACGAGACTAATTTTTTAAAAAATCCGGGAGCGGGAGCGGGGGCGGGGGAGATATTAACTCCCGTTTATGTTCGGGACCGGGGGCGGGAGTGAGTATTTTCGTCCCGTAGTCCCGCGGGGGCCTGTTTATATATATATATATATATATATATATATATATATATATATATATATATATATATATATATATGTTTATAACTTTAGTGATGTTTTATGTTTGATCAATTTTTGATTTATCAAGGGCTTACATGTTTGTTTATATACAAAAGTTATTAAAAATAGTATTTTTAGCCTAAAACAAAGCAATTTTTTAGCAAAAAAAATCCATTTTTAAGCCTATAAACCGAGAGTACCGGGGGTGGGATCGGGGCGATGGAGGTAACCGGGGGCGGGACCGGGGGCTGTGTAAGCGGGGGATCCGGGGGCGGGACCGGGAGCGGGGGCAACAAGTGATTTCGGGAGTGGGGGCGGGGGCAACCATTTCCGCTCCCGTTTGGTCCCGTTGACATCCCTAGAACTTACCATCAACGATGAATCAAGTGTATACCAATTGGTTGCTAATTATGTCAAATGTTCTAAACCTGAAGATTCGATTCTCGAGCTTTCCGGACTAGAAGGAGTCCCCTATGAGATCGACAGACCTCCTGCTCCGGCTCTTCGTGGCCAGTCTGCAATGCTTCGAGAATGCCTTTTTTGGAGACGTAATACCCCCTACTCTAAGGTTGTTGTAGGTCCTACCATGAGATCTGAAACTCCTGCTGAAGGTGAAGCCGTATTGGAGTATGAATCTACCACTGACTCCTACACACACCCTGCTTCTGGTGATCCCGTTGTGATCTCGTCATCTCCCTACGACAAAAAAATGAAGGACGATCGGTCTAAAGGTAAACCACCATACTTTACTTTGTCCAAGCCTGCAGGGAAGATGAGCACCTCATCAAAGTGTAAGAGAGATATTTCTTCATTTGAGGGAGTAACCGTTGTCGAAGAAGAACATGTGGAGCCTCAGGCTGTGTCCTTGGACTAACCGAGGAACACTAAAGACCTGGTTTCGCCAAAGCGTCTTCGTTCCATTCACCACACCAAACCTGCGAAACTTCCTGACTCGAATAAGGCGACTGAACATGCTTCCTTGGACAATCCTACCATTTCCAAGCCTCCGCCGACTCCAAACACAAATCCTTCCTTACTTCAGGATCGCCTAATCCAAAATGACCTTGATTTGGTAACTGCTACCGCGACTTTATCTAGTTTTTCACCAAGCCTTAAGCCCCCTATTTCTTTAAGCAGTGCTCTGATCACGGATGTTGTGGTGACGAATCCTGTGCCGATCCCTAAGACCTCTTACACTAAGGTTCGATCGGTGATGTCCTTGTAACAAAAAAGGGTGCAAGCCAGAGAGCTTTTGAGGAAAAAACTATTTGGTTCCAGTGTTGCAACCACGACTTCCACTAGTACAACCCTTGTCATTGAGATGAATCATGCTTCCACCGCTTCTACCAATCATGTACTGATCTTATCGATGTGGATGAGTTGATAACGTCTTCTGAAGGAGGAATGCCTAATATGATAGCCGAGGGTGCCCTGGTGACTGGGTTCACGCCTAGCAGTTCTTCGGTTCCAAAATTGGGTAAACCATCTTTCCTCATCTTTCCAATGTAACCATTTCTTTTATTTCTTATTTCTTATTTCTTACCTGTTATGTTGCTTGTCAAAGTTTTATATTTTCATCTGCTAGCAAGCTCCCTGCTCTTTCCTGATGTCTTTAGCTTCCTCCTTGTCATCCTTTTTGCATCCTTTCACCACCACCTCCTTTGTCAATAAACCATCTCTTGGAAAGATGAATGATGAGGAAGGGATAGACAAGGCCCATACTCATATTCTAGAGGGCCTTCATTGGATGAACGAAGTCCCTTTATGCAGCAAAGCTCGTGCGGCAGCTACCTACCAGATACATGGAGTTGGACAAGTTGTCCGAGTACATGGAAAAACATCGATCTAGTTAGCAGGTTCTTAAATGAGACAAGTGATAGTTCATGCAGGATAACATTGACATTACCTCTTCCAACAAGCAGATGTCACTAGACTTAGTTGAGTCCATGCACATTCAGGATGAGCTTCATCTTCTGAATCAAGATTTGCAGCTAAAACTTGATGAAATGAGCGCTTATGATGCTTCGTCTGCCAAGGCTCTATAAGAGGTGACTCAACAACTTGCTGGTCTAAATACTCATTTTTCAGAGAAAGTGTCTGCTCTGGACATTGCTTGTTTGGAAAAGGACATTCGTGAAAAACAATTGGAAGATGAGGTGAGTATTTTGCAATCTTCTTTGAGGGAAAAAGATGCTTGGATCAACGAGTTGGAGATTTAGAATGAATCAGCCAAACAAGACGTCCTGTTTCATCAACGAATTTCCAAACGACAATCCCTCGATATGTAGTGTACTTTGAAGCAAGGGATACCCTTATTTGTCCGGGATCTACTTAATTGGAGGAATTTGGCCATGCCCATGCTTCCCTTCAAGACACTGCTATACAACATCGCCACCATCAGGCTTGCACCAAAGTAGCATCCCAGTATCCAAACGTGATGGTTGGTGTCGGCTTCCCTTCTCTTTCCCGAATGCTACTGAATTAGTTCTCCAAAGGTTCACTGAGCTCACCAACTTTGATTTCACCTTGTTAAAGATGCTCTAAGGAGATGGTGTAGATGCAATCTCTTTGAAGAAACAACCGGAAGAGATGGATTTTTTTAATATTGGATTCGAAGATACTGGATTTGAAGATTAGCTTTATATACCTTTTTTTGTTAACGTAATGTTTTATTTGGAACGTAACTTTCTTTTTTCTTGAAACACTTCTTTTGTATTAGATTTTTGCTTTCCGTAGTTGGAATTGTGACATAAGATTTATCGATTCCTTCATAGCTTTTAACATTGTATGTATCGACTTATCTTAAATTATGAGGGATGATCCATAGTTTCGTATCTAGTTGAATTTGCCACCGTATTCTTCCTACCGGTTGTTCATAAAACCCATCCTTAGTGACCGAATCATGATTATCATTTTATACAACCAAACCCCGGAGCTTGGACCACGATGGCTTATATGATCAAACCATTGTGACCGAACCATGGTGATCTTCTACATGATCAGACTATAATGTTTAAACCAATGTGAGTTATATGTTCGAACCATGGTGATATTTTTCATAGCTGAACCATCGTGTTTAGAACATAGTGGCTTTTATGATGAAACCATGGTGATCTTTTACATAGCCGAACCATGGTGCTTAGACCGTGGTGAGTTATATGATCGAACCATGGTATTCGAACAATAGTAATCTTTTACATAGCCAGACCATGGTCTTTAAACCAAGGTGGCATATGTGATCGAACCATGATGGTCGGACCATGATGATATTTTTCATAGCCAAACCATGGTGTTTAAACCATCGTGGCTTATGTGATCGAACCATGGTGGTCGGACCATGGTGATATTTTTCATAGCCCAAACATGGTGTTTAAACGATGGTGGCTTATGTGATCGAACCATGGTCGTCGGACCATGGTGATCTTTTTCATAGTCGAACCATAGCGCTTAAACCATGGTGGCTTATGTGATCCAACCATGGTGGCCAAATCGTGGTGATCTTTTACATATCCAAAACATGGTGCTTAGACCATGGTGGCTTATATGATCAAACCATGGTGGCCGAACCAGGGTGATCTTTTACATAGTTGAACCATGGTTCTTAGACCATGGTGGCTTATATGATGGAACCAAGGTGGTCGGACCATGGTGATCGTTTTCATAGCGGAACCATGGTGTTTAAACCATCGTGGCTTATGTGATCGAACCCTGGTGCCCGAACCATGGTGATCTTTTACATTGCCAAACCATGGTGTCTAAACCATGGCGGCTTATGATGTGAGATCATCTTTTTGCTTATTTGGCCTATGTACGACATGTGTAGTTAAATAATGCAAACATTTTTTTTATACAAAATTCATATTGACCTTCGAAGCATACACTTACATCAAAATAATCATTTTCAGTTGTTCCTCTCGGTTCTTAAATTTCCAAAAAAGAGAGTACATTTTTCATCAACGTAGTTTGGCCGAGTTCCCCTATGATCAGGGCCTTCTTCGCTTTTGTCGCCACCTAAAAGTGGAAACGTCTTAAGTTGTGCATATTCCAAGTTCTCGGTAACCGCCTTCCCTGCATAGTCTCCAGGACATATGAACTGTTCCTCCGAGCTTCAATCACATTATATGGTCCCTCCCAATTGGGGCTCAACTTTCCTTCATTCTCCCGCCTGCTCACCAGATCCCCTACAACATAGGCTCGGCCTCAGACTCTCTTGTTATAGTATCATACTGTCATCGCCTTGTATGCAACTTTCTGTATAGCAGATTCGATTCTCTTTTCTTCCAACTGATCCAGGCTAACCTGCAGATCCTCATTGTTTGAGTCCACACAAGGATTTGAGGTCCGGGTATTTCGTATGATCACCTCTATTAGGATTACTGCTTCAGACCCATACACTAGGCTGAACGGTGTTATGTTCATGGGATTCCGAATCGTTGTTCGATATAACCACAAGACGTGTTGTAGTTTGTCCACCCAATTACCCTACAATTTTCCTAATCTTTTTTTGATTCCTTTCATAATGGTCTTGACTATCACTTCCACCTATCCGTTCGCTTGAGGATAAGCCACCGAAGTGATTTTTTGCTTGCTACCCTTGTCCTTGCACCACTTTTTAAAGGGATTTTCAGCAAACTCTTTCCAGTTGTCGTTGATAATGACATGCAACAAGCCAAACCGAAAGACTATTTGTTTCCAAATGAAGCTGATAACTTTCTTTCTTGTGATGCCTACCACCGCTTTGGCTTCGACCCACTTGGTGAAATAATCAATGGATACTATTAAGAACTTTAGTCTTCCGGGAGCTTCTGGAAACAAACCCACTATGTCAATACCTCATTGCTGGAAAGGACAAGGACTCGTCATTCTTTTCATCGTTGTGGACGGTAAGTTCGACATATTGGAGTGGATTTGACAACTATGGCACTTTTAGACAACTTCGTTTGTGTTGGCCGTTATCGTCAGCCAGAAGTACCCTTTAAAATGGAATTTCTACACCGAGGTCATGGCTCCTATGTGTGATCTGCAATCCCCTGCGTGAATGTCTTGTATAACCAAATCGGCTTCCTTCCTGTCCAAACATTTGAGCCAAGGAGTTGAATAGCCCTTCTCGTACAACCACCCTGAGTACATGGTATAATTAGCTGCATTGACTATGATTTTCCATGCCTCTTTCTTGCACGAGGGCAAGAGTCCTTCCTTCAAGTACCTAATATACAGCCCCATCCAAGAGTTATCTTCTTCCTCCAATTCCAACAGTTGTTCTACCTCCTCCTCGATACTTCTTTTTTGTAACACTTCGACCAAATTATTTTTCGAAAAATGGTGGTAAACGACTCATGCTAGTTTGCTTAAGGAATCGACTTCCTTGTTTAATGATCAAATATTTCTTGATGTGTTCCTCCTTAGCTTATGAACCATTGACCTGGTTCACAACCAGTATAGAATAGTCATATGATTTTACCTTCGAGACGTGCATGCTTGCAGCTAGTTGTAAACCAGCCATGAGTGCCTCATATTCGGCTTCATTATTAGAACACTTAAAATCAAAGCGAGGAGTATAAGTAACTCGCTCCCAATTCAGGATTTCCAATACAAATCCTATTCTAGAAACATCATAACTTGAAGCTCCGTCAGTGTGTAAAATCCAGTGTTCGTTCTTTTCATGTCCTGCCGATGCTTCCGTCTTTCTACCGTGCACCTTGATAGCGTAGACATTTATCTTCTCCTTCTACTTTGGCATTTTCATTAGGAAATCTTCCAATGCTTGGGATTTGAGACTCACCCTCTTCTTATAAACTATTTCATAATCTCCTAATTCTATGGCCCACTTTGTCATTCGTCCGGACCCCTCTGGGTGTGTTAAAATTTGTCGTATAGGCTGATTACTCAGGATCGATATAGGATGAGGCTGAAAATATCTTCACAATCTTCTAGCTATGTATACTAGGTAAAGAATCAATTTCTCGATCAAGGAGTAATTGAGTTCAGTATCCTATAGTACTCAACTGATGAAGTAGATGTGTGCTTGCTTCTTCACCCTTTCTGCTATTAGTACTGCACTAATCGCTTCTCGTCTGGCGGACATGTAGATTATCAAATGCTCATTCGGCTTTGGGCTAGCCAATGTTGGTAGCTTCCTTAAGTGTTATTTTAGTTTAAGAAGAGCCTCCCCCGCTTCTTTCGACCATGCCACGCCGCTCTTCCCCACATGATTCTTTACAACTTGATAGAATGGGAGTGATTAATCTGTAGATTTCTCCAGAAATCTTCCCAATGTTGCTAACTTCCCATTAAAACTTTGCACATCTCTCATTGAACACAGTGTCTTTAAATCCAGTAGCATTTTTTACTTTTTCAGGGTTCGCCTCAATCACTTCGGGGGAGACAATGTGACCCAAGAATTTTCCATTCTGTACTCTAAAGACACACTTTTTCAGGTTGAGCTTCATCTTTGTTTCTCTCAGTCGGCCCATTGTTTCGTCTACATCCTTCAAGAATCCTTTGTCTCCCTTGATTTTAATGACCATGTAATCCACATAAACTTCCACATTTCACCCAATCTGCTTTTCAAAAACCTTATTGACCATTCTTTGATACGTTGCCCCTGCATTCCTTAAACAGAATGACGTCTTTTTATAGCAGAAGGTTCCCTTCTCGATATTAAAAGTTGTGTTTTCCTCATATTCTTTCGATAATTGGATCTGATGGTACCCTTTATATGTATCTAAGAATGACTTCCATTGATACCCTCAAAGTGACTCCACCTTCTGTTTTATCTCCGGTAACGGGTAGCTGTCTTTCGGACAGGCGTTGTTTAGATTGGTGAAATCTACATACATTCTCATTGTTCCATCCCCTTTCCTTACCAAGACCAGGTTAGCAATCCATTGTGGGAACTGAGTTTCTGGCACCACCCCAACCTGAACCAAACCTGTTACCACCTTGTTGATAATCTCATTCCATTCCTGTACCGTTAATCGTTTTTTTTTCTTCGTAGGGGCGAATTCGGGGTTGATATTCAGTCTACGATCGATTATCGGCGTTG